CCCGCGGGGAGAAAAAAACTGTTAACTCAAGAGTTGCTTTTTCTCATAAAACAAGTTACTGTCTCCTCGTTTTCCTCCTGTTCCCCTTCTCCCGTCTACTGTGCCCAATGTCTGATTTAAAAAGGCCAAATTTAAATCAACCTCCAGCTCATTGGCTTGGCAATCCAGGGGCCTCCGAGTTAAAAGTGCCAACACAGAGCGCGCAGGAAACGGGCTCATTTATTTTGCTCACACAACAACAAAAAATAATGTTAATTGATGTAAAGTTGCTTGGCACGTAGATAATTTAGTCTGACCCACATTTTAATTAAAAGAAAACTTATGTGTGTTTTTTATGTTTATCTTTTGCAATTTAATTTTGTTTAGAAGCGACGTTGTGCAATTGACACCCCTCCCCCCAACCCACATTTATTAAAGGTTTTACTAAAGATTCTCGCCCCGCCAGGATTCGTTACCTCCTGCCTTACAGGAGCACACTTTCGGGTCTCCACTCGCTGGCCGCTGCGCCCGGCAGAGCCGCCACAATGCTGAGAGCCGGGAAGTGAACTCTCATCATTATTTTTCAAAGTCTGAGAAGTGTATTATCCTTTTTCCTAGTGGTAATTAGTTACCATAGCATCTAATACGTAAATGTGCCCAGAGCACACCATTAACAGTTAAACGGAGGATTCAATTTAACACATGATTATATCTTTCATAAGTCATTACACTGGAAAAGTCAATGCCACTCATGCTGGAACAATCTCAAGGTTCAGGGCGCGAAGAAAGGTTCGGTTCTGGCGTCCGAGACCAAGAGTGCGTAGAGAACGGAAGCCCGAGAGACTAGCCCCCCCTACCCCACTCCGCACCCCCCCCCGTTGGCAGTAAAATTGGGGTGGGGAGAAGAATTTAAGCTCAATATAGGGTCTTGGAGGAGATACCCAGTTGCTGGGGGGTGTCGCACCAGGAGGGCGCGCGCGCGCGCGTGCACACACTCATACACTCCCACACGTACCACAGGGGAAGGATAAAGAGGGGTAACTAGCAAGCTCTTCAAAGATGATCATTTGCTGGTCCTGTAGGAGTCCACGAAAAGCCCTGGCGCTTCTGTCCGTGCCCAGTGTCAAATGAGATGAAACCTAAGTGGGAATTAGAAATTAGAGAAGGAAATTGAAATTAGAGAGTAATTGGAAAAGGAAACAGGTGGAATAAAGGCCAAGGGGGATTCTGGGTCCTCGCTTGGCCTCATCGACCCACTCTCAGGTGCTAAGAAACTGGAGCTGCGGGATCCGCCGGGCAGTGCGCCTGGAGAAGCGCCCCAAGGCGCCGGGGTGTCGGAGCAGGTGCAGGGCGGCCAAGGTACACTGGCAGTCGCGTACACCAGTCTTAGGGGCCAGACTGTTTGCTCTGTTCCAAGGGCACTTCCTCAAGACTTCACTGATCCTCCTTTTATCCCCCTTGTGCTCAGTCGCCCAGTCCCGACATGGATAATCCAAACCGGAAAGACCTCTGGGTTGGACCCATGAGTGTGTGGTCCAACTTCCCAGATTGAGCCAAATTCAGGACTCAAACCTCAGGAGAAAAGCGAAACAGGGTCTTGCTGGGTGGGGGGAGAATTCTCTCTCCAACCCTCGGTGACCCCCTCTAAAAGCTGCTGCTGAAGAAACTTCGGAAAGGTTGTGGTAGGGCAGGAAAGGCCACCTAAGTACATCAGCTCTCAAAAGACTTCCTTTCAGACATCCCACGTTTATTCCTAGAACCACATGTTGTTCAACTCCTGGATTTGGAAAGAGAACTGATTGGTTTGAAATGATAAAAATAAAAATAAATGTTATGAACTTGCTACTTCTAGTACTTGTACATATCCCCCTGACATTTCGACTTATTCTCCACATCTTCTTCTTTTCCCCACCCCCATCCATTTCAAGTCTCTTTAAGGACCAAGAATGGAGATTGAGTTATTAAAGGGTGAAAGGAGGGTAAGTATTTCTTTTTCTCCTGAAGTTCAAGAATTATTATTTGTACAATTTGTAATAATAGTTGGACAGTACAGAGGTTGCAGAGGAAGTATTTCAAGGAGGCCTATTTAATGGTGAGAAATACTAAGCAGTAAATCTTGCAGCAAATGTGTCCCCTACAATGTTAATATGCAAAAAGAAAAAAAAGTCGACTGATGGTGGCTGTGTTTAATTCCTAATCAGAATGATGGACAGCAGGGCCAGAACAATACAAACTAATGGCTGTGTTGCTGATCACTTTACCCCTTGATTAAAGACACCCAATTATGGCGCAGAACAGTGTCGTAATTATGTTTCTTAATCACATCCAGGAGGTTTAATTGCCTTAACGATGTGTTTCATTAAATGAATTTAGGTATTATAGTCGACAGTTTTCATACACAGTTGTTTTCAAATTAACATAATATTAGACATCGTCATGGAAATTGTTTTAATAATCATAATTAGATGCACCCAGGCTTTGTCTGGTAAATGCTAAGAGACGGGTCTCCTCCTGCCTGGGGGCTGCCCTGGTCTCTTGCCTCCCTCTACCCCCACTCTCAGACTGGGAGGGCTCCAGCTTCAAGGCCCTTTGCTGTTATGTTTTCTGAAAAGTTACAGGTTCTGATTAATCTTTTTTGATGGCAAGTGGAGCAGAAAATATCCTCCCTCACCCCCCACTAAGTTTGATGGCATTTAGGAACATCATTCTGAGCTGAGGCTATACAGACAAAAATGCATTTAGCTAACTGCCTATTGAAGAAGCACTGTAACTTGACCACCACCTTCTCTATAACCTCCACCACAATAAAAAACAAACCTTCTATATTTGAGGGTGTCACTCAGGTCCAAATACAAGTCTATAAAGACATTCTTTAATAGAATCAATGCCCACTTTATCCAAACAGTGACCCTAAGTATCTCATTAACAAGCAACCTAGTAAGTTTTGAAAATCTCTATGGGAACTGTTAACACATAACTCAACCTGGTTGATTCTTCTGTCAGAAAAAAATATGGACAGCCACAATAAAATTCTTCCTTGGAGAATCCAAATCCATCTCTTTCCCTTGGCTTTTGGGCAATTTGGAAATAGAAAATTTGATCAAAACTCTTTAAGAAACTTTATCATCTTTGATGGGTTCTGGCATGGTTAACAAGTCCATACAAGTGGGAAAAGAACTCCAGCGACAGCATGGCCTTCAAAGTTATGCTAGCAGACAGACACTCTGGACCTCCTCTGGGTCTTACCACTGACCCCATTTCTCTCTCCTCCAATGACCAGGCCCAGCCATCGTCCTTTGAACAAGTAAACAAGAGAACTAGTGTCACTTCTATTTGTGTATCCCTGACAAAACTTTACTTCTCTGAAATTTCTCTTTTTGGTTACCTCTCAAGCAAAAAGTAACACAGAAGAGAGGTGACTGCTCCTTCCACAAAGCACAGAATAAAATGTTTGATCAAAATATTTTAATAAAGATTCTTTCTGACATAGATACACATACAAATGGTCGTACATAGCTGTCATAGTCTGATTGACCTATTGAACATATATATATCATTCTTTATACATCCAAAACCCACCAATAGATCCATCGCAGCTCCCAACTCGCCATCCAACCTGACAAACTAAACTTGTATTATCTGCAAGAAGTGGAAAATAGCAGGACTCCATTTTTTAAAAAAGGTTGTCTTGATCTTTGTAGGATAGAAAGGCAGGCAAACAGCCATGCAAACTAAAACTGAAAGCTCACTTTGGGTAAATAGCTTCTTGCTCTTCCTCAGCTTTATTTTTAATTTTTAATTTTTTTTTTAGAAAAATAACAAAGGATTTCACACATAGGCAAATCAAACCAGTCTTTAAACTTAAATAATTCTCCACAGTTAAAATAACTTATTATGTACATATATATTAAAAGCAATTAAATTAGACCTTTTAAAAATGCACAGCACAGTCTGGAAAAATATTTGCTTAGCATGGTCTTACTTATAGGTTCTATTGCTGTGATGTTTTTCCCTTTTAGAATTGAAAGGAGTCCCCTTTCAAAATAGAGATCAATTCATTCATCAATTAAGAATACACCTTTCCTGTAATTTTTGGACTGAAGCAATTTATTAAAGCTCAATTTAAATACAGGGGTGATGCAACTGAAAAAAATCCAGGTGACCTTTGATAAACCTAAGCAGCTCAGATACATCAATAGGTCTCTTCATACTTGTTGGCAAATAAACCTTTTAAACACTTGGCACACAGTATAAGTTAATCTATAAAACAGAATTTTAGAGGCATTAAAAAAACCTGCACATAAGACCCATGACCTTAACACATGATAAATACTGTTGATGTGGAAGGGTCATCGAAGAATAACAAATAAATACCATGAATCATTAATACATCATTGCAGAATGGAAAGTAACAAGGTGCACATAAATATTTTTAAATGCAATTCTTTCAGCCACAGTTTTTTTTTTTATATCACTCTTGCCAAAACTTTTGACCTTTTTCACAGGATTAAAGTTCAGAGACAATAAAAAAAACAAGTCTTTCATAGCAACGTGTCTCTTTCGCTTTTTTTTTTTCTTTTTCTTCATTTAAATAAATCTACCTTTTCAAGTTTTTCTCCTGGCTCAGAATCAAAATTTATTTTCAAGTGCCCTTTATGATTTGTCTGAATGAATATTCCATCCCACAAGTCACCCAACGCCTGACTCCCTCTCTCCTACTCAGCACTAGCCAAATTCACAATTATTATTAGGATTAGTATTTTGTCATTTAATATTTTCCACGATTTATAACCAAGCGACTATTATTCAAACTTATTTTTAACCTTAAAGGAAAACTGCTTCCTCGCGGTCTTGGCTGCCACCAAAGTTGCCACTTTCTGAGAAAAAAAGACATCCCTACTTCAGCTCAACACCACCTCCCTCCTCCCTCCCTCCCATCCCAAAAACGGAGATTCTAGGGATGTCAAAGCTCAAGTCCCGTTAGTCTCTGAAACATCTTCTCAGTTCTCGCCCCTGCTTTGTTTGCTTTGCAAGTGTTTCACAACTACAAGAGGACCAAAATAAGGGGGTGGGGGAGAGCTTTTCCCTTTCCTCTAGCTTTCGGGTCGGTCTTGTATTTCTCGGGGGTGTGTTTAAGGCTTCTCCGTGCACTGTTTGCAGAGGCTGGAGGAGACGCTGTTGAACAGGGCGCACTTCTCCGGGCAGGAGGCAGCCGGGGGCAGCCCGGCGCTGAACGGGTAGCTGGCAGCTTGCTCGTAGGCACCCAGCGCTGGGTGCAGGGCAGCGGCTGCCGCCGCCGCCGCCGCGGAGCTGGGTAGCGAGGCGGCCGAGATGGCCTGGCCCTGGTTGAGATAGGCGACCAGGCGCCGCATCTCCTCCAGGGCCTGCGCCTGCATGAGGATGTAGTTCTTGGCGAGCAGCAGCGTGGCGATCTTGGAGAGCTTGCGCACCGAGGGGCTGTGCGCGTAGGGGATCACCGCACGCAGCTCATCCAGCGCGTCGTTCAGGTCGTGCATCCGCCGGCGCTCCCGGGCGTTGATGTTGAGCCGCAGCGCCTTTTGCTCTTTGGATTTCTTGCTGCTGCTGCTGCTGCCGCTGCCACTGCCGCCAGCGCTACTGCTACCCCCACCACTACCGCTGCCTGAACCCCCCGGGGGGGCGCTGGAGCCGCCGTGGAGGTGGGCGTTGGAGCAGCCCTCGGCCGCCTTGGTGCAGCCGCCTCCCGCGCCGGGGGAGGCCCGCGGGTCGGCGCCTCCGGCCCGCAGCACCAGGTCGCAGCGGCCGTCGCTGTCGTCGTCGGGGCTTTGCTCCCCGCCGCTGCTCTCGGCCACTGAGCCCCGACTCGCGCTTTCGCCGTATTTGAGGCAAAGGGCGGCCCCAGCCGGTAGGCTGCTCAGTCTAGGGTCTCCCCCAACGCCGGCAGAGCCCACCAGCAGCCCGGGGACGCCCACCCCGCCGCCGCCGCCGCCACCGCCGCCACCTCCCGCGCCGCCGCCACTGCCTCCCCCAGGCGGCGGCAGCAGCAGCCCTGCCCCCTCGGGATCAGCCGGCTCGAAGCAGCCCAGGGGCGACGAGGAGGAGGACGTTGGGCGCTCCCGAGGCGGCGGCGCCAGGGACAGGTCCATGCCCGGGGGCGTGGAGCGGAAAGACGCCTCCAAGCGCTTGGCTGTGGAGGCGCTTAGGCTCTTGTGCAGGAAGAGGTCGTCTTCGCCCGCGGCTGCCACGCCGAGGTGCAGCCCGCGCTCCATGGTCCGGCGCCGGCGCGCAGCCCGGGCCCGCCGCGCCGGCCGCCGCCGCGTCGGCTCGGGAGTCAGGCGGCGCGGAAGACGCGCCCGAGCCGGGCTCCGGGGCTGGTGCGCGCGTCGGTCCCGGTGCTGCTGGCAGCCCTCTCCCCTTCTTTTTCTTTTTCGCCTTCCCCCGCGCTCGCCGCCTCCTCTTCTTCTTCTTCTTCGTCTCCAGCCGATGGTGCTGGCTGCTGGGGCTCACCATGGGCCGCAGCCCCGCATGGTGGGAGGGTGGGCGCGGAGGGAGTGGAGCCGCCGCCGCCGCCGCCGCCGCCGCTGCTCTGAGCCCAGCCCCGCGCCTCCTCTCCGCACCGTTTATCTTGCTTGGATTCACCTTCAAGAGATTTCAGGACCCATCAACCAGCCGCCGCCACAGACGGGGGTGTCTTTTACATCATTATCTCTGAGTAGGTTATTATGAAGAAGACTCGCCTGTTGGGACAGCGCTTTCTACCCAATCAGGTTAACGTTTTAATTAATAGGATTAAAACGGTAACAAACAATCGCAGGCGCTATCTGGCCGCGAGTCTGAATAGTTTCATTTCCCAGGTCTGAAGACAGGCAGCAGCTAGAGCTTTATAAAAGGCGCCTGCTCCGTTATTCTGCCTGCCATCTGTATACACAGCTTAGCGCATATGTTTGCAAGGCGCTGGGTCCTGTTAGTAACCCAACAACTGCCTTTAGCTTGACATGTGTAGCGACTTTCACTCATCAATGAGCACACTAAAAGCCCTACTTAGAGCCGAGGATGTTCTTTGCTCCTTCAGCAAATTGTAGATCGGCGGCGAAGTCTGGGAGTCCGGTGGAAAGCCGACGCCCCCTCCCACCGCCCCCCACCCCCACTGTCTTTCCCTCGCCACTACTGTCTCATCTTGTGCTAAATTACCCTTCCTGGTGAGAATTATAGTCTACCCATGTTCATAGGGTGACACTGGTCTGGATTTGGAGAATTTGGGAGTGGGGGGAATGATGTCCCCTCTAACTTGCCCCACATTCACCTTAGATTATAAGTTAGTAAGAGAGCAAAGCAATCGTCCCCCTTAAACACTGCCTTATTTTCACCCCACCCTCCGCCTATTTCCAACACGGATGGGGGGGGGGGTGAAGAGCAAATTGATTATGCAGCTCATTAGATTTAAAAAGGGGGTGTCTTTGCGTCAATTGCCAAATAACTGCTACAGTGATGGTGACTCTGAAGCACACGATTTCCTAAACAGGAAGGAACTGATTTCTCAAACTTTCCTCCTGATTAAAATCCTGTGATTTCGGATCAACTTCACCCGGAGTCAAATCCTTTCCCACCCCAAGTGGGGCATTGGTGCGTATTTGCCCAGAAACGTAACCTCCCCAGCTAGGAAACCATTCGGGGACATCTGGACCTGCCTGGCTGTTCCGGGAGGGCTGGTAAAGGGAGGTCTGTGAAGACAGTGCTCCTCTCGGGGTGGGAAGTGGTACACGCCGTCTTCTCTCTCCCCAGTTGCATGTCTGGGAGCACATGGTATTTAGTGGCTGGTGTTCATCCTTATGACATAAGTAAAAACAATATTTCCCAACACCTCCAATAAATCTTTCTTATGTGGCAGAATTACTGAAGCCTATGAAATTTTTGGTTTCTCTGGTTTCATTAAAAACCTTTTAATTGTGGCTTTCTGAGTTGGCCCCAGGTGTTGGACTCTTTTCATTACATTTTGCTCTAATGTGATGAAATTCTAATTCTCTCCTTACCATATGGTTAAATTTCCCAACTGAGAATTAGTTGAAAAAGGAGAAATAATCTATTAATCTCTGTAATAGATTCACAAATGAGGTTCGCCACAGAACCTGTTTTTGAATGGTAATATCAGAACAGTTGGACGCCTTATTTCATAAAGGAAGGGTGAGGGCGACGCAGAAGCGTCTGAATAGTCACCTGCAAAGGATGAATAGGGGCCCAGCGCTATCTTTCCAAAGTAATTGCCTGAGATTCATTCTCCCCGGGACAGAAATACTTCACAGTCGTCGGTTACCTTCGAGCCTTAAATTGGAACCCAAAGACTGACAAAGAGCACGCGGGCTGCGGGAAGCTTTCCAGCCCGGGACCCAGGACCGCGGTTCTGGATGGCTTAAGCCAGCCCACGGTCTCGCTGAAGACCCCAAAGCCCTCGTTCAGTGCTTTCCGCCTCCCCCCTCCCCTCCTTTCCCGGGCACTTGCAGCTGTTAATCTCTCCCTTTAGAAAGCTAAAGACACGCTCCTGTTATTGTTTTTCAATTAGCAGCTTTCCTTTCCTGGGATTGTAAACAAAGGTTCTCTGTAAACGTGTAGGTGAACCGAGTGTGCCTGATACTAACTTATTCAAAGTCCTCTGTAGGACCGAGGCTGCACCGCCGTGGCTCTGGGGGCAGTGGAGACACGTTCCTGACGTCTGATTCGGTTCTTCATCCAGCCTGCCTTTCCGAGGTGCTGGCACTTCCCGCAGGACGCCTGGACTCCTGACGGCCAGTGTGCAGGCTCTAGAAGGGCGAAGGTCTGCCACTCCCGGGCCAGGTGGGAGCTAGGGCTTAGCTGTGCCCTGCAGGGCCGGAATGTCCAGCAGGAGTGACCACAGAGAGCAGCCAAGGCGCCTCCTGCACAGACTTTGACCTGGGACCCTCGCCGGATCCTGGTCCTTCTCGGCTATTAGATAACTCAGCTTCGTAAAGCACCTTGCGGCCCTTCCGGTACCCCACCTCCACGCCCTCCTTCCACCCCACTCCACCCCCCAACACCTGGCCATTCAAACTTCTGGAACAAACTTTTGTGCAACTTCATTTTACTCAGTAGGAGCCAAAAAACCTCTTTTCTTAGCTGTTCAAGAAAATCCCCCAGGTCTCCCCGGAGGAGGAGGCTGCTTAATAGATACTGGAAATTTAGGTTTGGGAAACTGCCCGAGAATTTATAGAAGCTCTAAATGTGGGCCTTATAACAACGGTCGGAGAATGGTCTTTGAGGTTTATGCACTCGTAAACTTTTGCTGATTGCTTCTGGGAAGTTGTCAGACACTTAACACTGCGTTTATCTTACAGGGCAATGAAAACACATCTGCCTGGTGTCTCGTTACCTGGTTTAATCGTCCCAGCCCTAAGTCACAGACTAGGCTCTCTCTCCTCACTGGGGTGAGATCCCGCCGCCTGATTTCGGGCCAGCGGTGGGGTGGCGTCAGAGGCTCACTTTGTGCCCTCTGGCCTCAGGAGCTCGGGAAATCTGTGCACTCGAACTTTGTTCCCCCAGGAAGCGAGGATAGGGCCACGGCTCCTCCTGTAACTAGCGAGCTGGAGAAGTAGCAGAGGAAAAGTCAAAATAAACAATGTCTGGTTCCCCAGCAAGAAAGGGTGGGAAATTAGCCCTCGGGGAAAACTCCTGACTCACAGGTGACCGCAGAGAAGGAAGCACTGGAAGTGAAGCCTCTGACTGTGCATTTTCAGAGGTCACTGTGCGTTACCTAAGCAACTCGAGGACAAGAAGAGCGGGGACTGAGACTTCTGCCTGCAGCTTGGCGGGGGAAGCTCAGTCCACTCCGCAGGCCAGGTAGTGGCGGGAATGGGCGGGGTGGGCGGAGAAGGCGATCCAGCAACACCCAGCACAGCATTCTGGGTGCCGTCTGGGATGGTTGGCGTAGCGAGGCCCGTTGGCCCACAGACGTCAGCACAGGAAGCTTTCTTGGATACCAAATTCACAGTCGTCAGAGCATGTTGTATAAAGATGAATACAGTTTTGTTACATCAGGAGGGAATATACCTACGACTTTGAAAGGATTCTAATATATTCAGCAAGCAGCACCGCACTGAAATGAGAGAGCCCTGAGCTTCAGACCAAACTAATTTTTTAGGTCATACTTAAATTTCTTAGTAATCATCCTTATTAATCTTTGCTTGAAATTTGAAATAGGAACCTAAATAAAATCAGAACGGAACGCAATCTAATATACTTTACAAGAGCAAAGCCTGGAGTCTCTCTTTGTGATTTCTATAGCCTCGATAAACAGTTTATTACTTACCTAGATTAAAAAGTTTGGAGAACCCGGAACGCTGGGATTTGAGTATGAGTGTTTTCTGAAAGTAAGGAGTGTCCCTGTGTGTGTGATTCAATTTATCTATTTGAGAACATTCTAAAAAGTAAAAGCAAAGTTTGGCAAAAATAATATAAACTTTCACTTGGGAGCTGTTCTGGAAAAGCAAATTCCCTGAGGGCGATGGGACCCCTCTCCCGGAGGCGCCTCCGCGGAGAAGTCCAGTCTGAAAGATCGCGTCCGGCTGGGACCGCGGAGACCCCAGTGGGACTTCCTCCTGGGACCCTTTCGGGGAGTGAAGTCCCCGAGCCGCCCCCCGCAGCGTAGAAGAGGGGTGCGCCCTGCTGCGCTCCAGGCCCGGGCAACCTCGACTGCTCAGCAGCCGGGGTCGGAGGCATGCTGACCTTGGACTTGCATATGCCTACCCCCGCCCCTCTCCCGCCCGAGTTGTCTGGTGGCACTGGGTCAGCCTGAAGCTTGCACAGCTGAGGTTTATCATCCCGCCGGGTTTGGGAACGCAGGATCAACTGGATGGCAAAGATATTCAAGTCCAAGGCTTTCGGTGTCGTGTTATTAGTCTTTAGGTATCCAATTCGCCAGATCCTACAAAGCTCACTGCAGAGAGCTACTGTGGATCCATATGTGTCATGGGGACAGGGGGCTCATGAGGAGGAGGGTAATGAGGATGCAGGGGCCAAGGGAGCTGGAACCGGTCAGTGCTCCAAAGTCCCAGCTTCACAGTTGCTTTGAAGTGCTTGACGATTCCGAGGACTTCGACCGTGGAAAAGGGGAAACCTGTTGATATAAAGTTGTTTCGGGAAGGTTTTTTCTTTTTTCTATTATCTATTATCTATTTTAAATAGGAGAGGTTGATCCTCACGACTATTTGGCGACAAGTTAGCCTAAGTCTGAACAGACTTTGGAGAGAGACCCTCAGCC